TAAATTATAATAAATAATTAAATACAATGTCTACCTAACTAGCACAGATGTATAGATAAAATGATAAATACTATAAAAATAATTAAAATTACAACCTGCCACCACATCCCGTTTTGAACCCTCACCTGATGTCTGAAGGAATTAAATTTTGAAGAATACCTGAGCATGGTATCTATTTATTTATGTAAAAAGTTAAGATAGTTGTTTTACTTATTTCTCACTAAAGAAGCTAGTCAGAGAATTGCAAAATATTTATAAAAATACTACCCGTTACTCCCTTAGGAGCCAAATTTCCAAACATTCGTTTTTAGGGGGTGCTTACATTCACAATGGAACCTACTCCATATTTCTAGCTTTAAATATTTCAGCTCGTCTATTATGTTTAAATTTAAAAAAAAGGTAGGTACCTAGGAATATAATTAACCATAATCATCATCATAAGGTCGTCAGTCCTAAGACTGGTTGGACACGCATCTCCATTCCTTCCTATCCTGAGGTAATCTTTCCCTAAAACTAGAACATCCCACATCCTTAACTATTTGCGAACAATAATCTAATTTAGATCTATCTCTACTCCTCTTAATTCCTGTTCCTCCTTCTAATATGTCTCTGACTAGCCTTTCATGCCTGACAAGGTGTTCTACCAACCTATCTCGCCTAATTTTTGTTGATTTCCACAGTGTTCTGTTCTCTTATTCTTTCTTATACCTCTTAATTTCTAACCTTCTCTATTCACGATATCCTCATCATTTGCCTGTAACATCACATTTCGAACGCTTCTAGCCTTTTCTTTTCCGCTGCGCCCACCATCAATATTTCGCATCCGTGCAGCGCCGCCTTCCAAACATACCCCTTTAACAACCTTTTTCGAATTTTTAAATTTAAATTAAATGGCGAGCATAGAAATGACTTCTTTTTATTGAAAGCGAGTTGACCCTGCGCTATTCTCTGCTTTATATCCTTATTACTCCTTCCGTTTTGACTTATCTAACTTGCTAAATACCTACAATCCGCCAATTCTTCTAATCTTTCGTCTTTTATCTTTATATTAGCTCTTTCCCTAATTTTTCTTCCCTTGCATATCAGTATTTTTGTTTTACTTAACATTCATACAACACTGTTTTGTCAATACCGCTTCAATTTTTTCAAAGCTATCTCTAAATCCTCCTTGCTGTCCTCCTGCTAGATGCTAATACTGCTACATCGTCTGCAAATCTAAGCATACTAATCTTTTGCCCCTGTATATTTATTCCTACAGTTGTACTGTCTTTAATGATGTTGATCATGTCTTCGATGTATAAATTAAAAAGTAGCGATGTTAGTGTGCACCCCTGTCTGACTCCCTTCCTAATATTTTCTTCTCTACGTTGCAGCCCCAGCTCTATAACTGCCTGTTGCTCTTTGTGCAAGCTAAATATCACTCTTCTATCTTTGTAACTCATCCCTACATTTTTAAGTATATTTAACATCTTGTCCCATAATATATAGAGCTGTTCATGAAATAATCAGTTTTTTCCATACAGTTAATCAGTGTTTAGTTGTCTTATTTATTCCAACAATTTAGTCATTACTTTCAGATATAGAACGACGAAACTATTTTCTAACAAATTTTCTTAAATATCTCAAAGAGTAAAGTTGATATCAGTGTATAACAAAAATATAAATCTTGTACTCAAGTTCGGGTTTGTATCCCAAAGAGCATCGGAGCTTTTGTCAAGTTAAAATATTTCATGGAATTAATAAATATTTACTTTCCTCATTTCAGGAAAACAAAAAATTAATGAATACTATAGTATTAGGTAGGTATCTACCTATATATACATATAAAGAACTCATTCCATATGCCAAAAATAACTTTAAATAATATTTGCCCTCGATTAGTGAATTTAATACTTTATATTTTTTTATAGTGTATTCTGCATTTAACAGTAGTTTAATCTCCAGTTTTTATTTTATAACATATTATTTACAGCAACGTTTCGATGCAATCATCATCAATTGTTTACTATCGAAATGAATCTTTCTCCGATGCTATTTGCTATTTCCGAAATATTACTATTATCGTAACTGTTTTAAGATTAGTAGTAATTTTTATTAGCTATCAGCTATAAAATT